TTAACGATGATAACGATGATGGCGGTGATGATAACGATGATAACAATGGTGATGACGATGATGATTATTATTATTATTATTATTTTCAGCCCCAGGATCCAGCTTTCTTCGGAGCTGATTCAGTTTTGGTGAAATCCTCAAAGCACTACTTGACCATCCGCTATACGTTGCTGCCCTACCTGTACACTCTCTTCTACAGAGCTCACACCCGAGGAGACACGGTGACACGGCCGGTTCTCCACGAGTAAGTTGACCTTCCCAGTTCTAGAAGGAAATAATTCAGGGAGGTTGAACGCTGCTGGGGATTTGCTAAACCCATCCGTAGCGTGTGAAGAACGCCGCCCGTCATCCCGTCTACATTCACGGAACACCTTTTTGGGGCAACGGGGAGAGTCATTAAAACCCGTGTGTAACTTCTGCACAGGCGCTGGTGTTACTGTGAGTTACGACACATCGTTGGCAGCTGAGGAAATTATTCTCCACCGGGATATAGATTTTAAAATATTTATTTTCTCACCTTTATTTCCTGGAAACTCTTAAATCGAGAGATAATAAGACCAGACACCCCCAGACACACTGACGCATATGCATAATTGATGCATATGAAATTAATAAGCCGTGAATTTCCTCTCTTAGCCTCAGATTGCCTCCACCCCTTTTCAGTAGTGATTCTAGACCGCCGAGACCTTGAAACGTCGAGATTGCTCATGACAATATTTATTTATGCGCTATTTATTAGGAAGTGCAATTAACGCCGCCGCTTCCCCGTTTCTTTAGGTTTTATGCTGATGAAGCAACGTGGAGTGTGGACAAGCAGTTCCTGTGGGGTCCCGGGCTCCTCATTACCCCCGTGCTTGAGCCAGTAGGTCGCACTTTCTTGATGCCTTTTCATAAACTCATGGGGGCACCTCGAATCGCCAGCGCCCCTTTTTCCACGGGGAATTACAGTAAAAGCCCCAGCCAGTTAAATTTCTCAGCGCTCTATTCCCATCATTCGTTTATTCCCTCGATTTGAAACCGCCGTCGGATTTCCTCTCTTATTTAGTCTTGGGATGATACCGTTATTCAGCTTAAAAATCCAGAGTTCCCTTTTTTAGGGCGAATATATTTCCCCTGGAATCCTGCTGCTCCTCATTTTTTTTTTAAGCTGGGGAAGAGAAGAGGGGGGGAAAAAAAAAAAAAAGAAGGAAAATAGGGTCTTCCATTTCTCTGGTGGACCTCATAAATTTGCTCCGGTCCTATTTTAGCCTGAATTGTCTCGGCAAGAACCTGAAAAAGTATTCCCAAAGAACCTCTCGTTCATTAGCTATAATATTTCTCCAGTGGAAACACGTGTCTTAATATAAACCTTGATATATCCTTCTTTCATGCATATTAAATACAATTTAATTTTCTCCTTGAATTCATTTTTTCCCCCCTAAATTTAATTTCCCCCCTAAACTCCGTTTTCTCTTTAAATTTACGTTTTTAGCATGTTAATTACACGCTTGTCTTTGGACTCCTCGTAAAGCCGGTTGGTTTGTTTTTTCTCCTCGTTTACCGCTCTCAGCGAAAGAGCCCCCAACACACTTTCATCACTAAGTAGAAAATCTCGGCCTTTCGTGCTGTTATTTTTATATTGCCTCATTACTTCTGTTTCCTCATCCTTTGGGAATCTAATTCTTCTGTTGCAAAATGCCCCTTCGCCTTCTCCGTACGTCACCTCTGCGTTTCGTTCAGGGTCACCTTTTCATGTCTCACTCGATTTTACTCTACCGGCGGTTGACCGAGACAAAAAAATACAGATTGGTGCAAAATCTTGTATTAACGCTTATGAATTCTTGTACCGCGTATGCTATTTAGAGGAACAAAGCGTTCGTTAAATGTAGGAGATATCTGAAACGCACCCACGTGGAAAAAGTAAAATTAAGATTTAACGACGCTTGTGAATATCCCTCTGAGACGGAGCGTTTGCACCATTGTAATTTTGGGTTGCAAACGGCGAGTTTCTGTCTTGCGGCTTTGCTGAAATTGTACCTTTTGTTCCTTTTTGGGCATTGTCATAGAAAACCGTGAAAGAGACCCCAAAAGAGGGGAAATATCAACTGAGGGGGAATACCATTGTCAACTTTATTATGATTTGGGGAAATTTTGGCTTATTTTCATTGTATTTCCTCCCCCCCCATCCCCAGCCCCCATCCAGTTGAGGAGGGGGATTGACAGAGCGGCTGGGTGGGCACCTGACCACCTCCCAAGGTCAACCCACCGCGTTGGATTAACACAGTGGATTAACGTGGTTTCGAATGCGAAAGTAATTTCTGCGTTCCCTTTCCAGGGGGTGGAAGTCATCCAAGCGTATATCCCTGACGCGGTCTGGTACGATTACGATTCGGTGAGTAAGGAGGATAATTGGGTGGGGGGTTCTAAATGTCCAAGTGAGAAGGTCCCA